AGCTCTGCATGGTCACCTGTGCTCTCCACGCTGGGCAAACAGGAAATGAAATTCAAAAGTTCGCTGGGCTTTTCCTGTCTACCTGGTCAGTGCATCTGAGTTGAGAGTGCTATCCAGAGCGGTCACAATGAAGCTATCCTGTGGGATAGCTCCCGGAGGCCAATAACGTCGAATTCCGTCCACACTACCCCAAATCCGACCTGCAAAGGCCGATTTTAGCGCTAATCCCCTCGTCGGGGGTGGAGTAAAGAAACCAGTTTAAAGGGCCCTTTAAGTCGAAAAAAAGGGCTTCGTCATGTGGACGTGTCCAGGCTTAATTCGATTTAACGCTGCTAAATTCAACCTAAACTCGTAGTGTAGACCAGGCCTGAGAATCTGCTGGAAGCATGTGGTGAGAAACTTTGCTTGAATCTAATATAGTTGATAAATTAGGCATTAGTAAGCCTTTTATTTGTATTTTTTCTTGGAACCATTTCTGACTTTTATGCTTCATTACTTGTATTCACTTTAAACCCCCTCTTTGTAGTTAATAAACTTGTTTTATTGTTTTATCTTATCCAGTGTGTTTACATTGAAGGGACTGGGAAACTCCATTTGGGGTAACAAATTGGTGCACTTAGAGGAATAATGGATTCAAGATATTTGCGCTGTCCAGGAGAGGGCTGGGCAGTACAGGACACACGTTTCTGGAGCCGCCTCTGCGTGGCTGGGCGCTCCCCAGGCAGATTGGGCAGCACAGCTCCAAGCAGCACCCCTGAAGCACTCTTGCCTCTCCCCTGAAGCAGCCCGGCACCAGCCAGCGACACCCCCAGGGCCATCCCCTGCCCGCGTAGCCTGGCTGCCATGAGGTGCTACCAGAGGCGCTTACTCACTGCTGCTCTGGTGCGCCTGGCTCTACTGCTGCTCCTGAAGAACCAGGTCAATGGTGCTGGGCTCCTTTGGGGAAGGGGCAAGAGCATATCGGGTGCAGCTCAGAGGGGTGCCACTCACCATGCCTGGGGAGTGTCTGGCCGGGCAGAGGCAGCCCAGCTCAGGGCGCAGGGCAGGAAGGGCAGCTGAGCAGTGCCCCTGCTCCCACAGTGTGGAGAGCCAGGGGCCCGAGTGGCTCCCACCAGCTTCCAATCCACAGACTCCTGGAAGGATGCAATGGCTTCAAACTGTGGGGTTCGCCCTGCAGTTTTAATACCTCAGTGCTAAATGGAGGGCAGAAATGTGGGTGGGTCCATGACCCCGTGTGGCACAAATATGCTTGCTTAACCCAGGTGCTAAAATGCCTAGTTACGGCTCTGATCAAATTAATTTCTTTTTTTATTGTTAGAAGGTAAGCTTTGTATTGCACATTATTGGAAAGGTGTGACCCCTCCTACTACTGGAGTCGTGGTACAGCAAAATATGGACTGTCCTTGTAATGGAAAAGCTTTCACATCAAGTACACACACAAGAGAAGCACCAAAAAGAGTATAGGTGTTTAGAAATTTGATCACGCTTTTTAGTGTGGAGGAGAGCTCCCCAGCAAAGAAGCCAGAATCTTTAGCCAGCTTCTTTGAATATTAACCGGATCCTCAATAAATAACGTATTATGCAGCATGTTAACATTTTATTGTAACTTTGCCTTAATAAAAAGAGGACGAAAGAAATCCACCTCTGCTATTATATTAGGAATCTAAAAGAGGCTTCAATCTAAATGAGCTTGTGTTCAGAGCTCTGCAACTAGTCAAATATGGACCACACAACAGACCTGGAGTCAGCCCATGACATAGGGGATAGAGAGGTAAAATCAAGGTCCTGTCTACTCCACAAATAAAATTGTCAGGGAGTCTGGTTAAAACTTATTTTTTTCTTAACATGGTTCCAACTCATAACGTACATTGGCCCTTCACTGTGTTTGTCCAGATCGGGCTTTAGTCTGATTATGAGATTCCTCTGCTATCTGGAACTCTATTTGCAATCAGCTTAGGGGACAACTGAGTTATAATCATGCTCCCTGACATGGTTTTATCAAAGACCCCAACAACTACGTGGGTGAAGCCAGACAATCACTAGGCTCTCCAATGAACTCACACCAAAAAGTGATAGAAGACAAACACACCATATCACCCCTGGGCAAACACTTTTCACAAAATGATCACTCCATACCTGATCTTTCAATACTCATCCTCAAGGGAAACCTACACAACATCTTCAATCTTGAGAATGGGAACTGAAGTTCATGCTGCTAGACACTAAATGCCATGGACTTAACAGGAAAAAGAAGGGACACTGGTTTCATGGCTCATTACAAAATCCTGTAATACACACCTGCCAGCTAACCTTTAATGGCTCAATTCAAACTCTTTTTATATAAACAAGCTAACCCTTATTGCCTACTCTATCTCCAGTGACTTCCTACAACACGTTACCTCTTATGCTTAACTATCTGTCCCAACTTGTATTTAACTCAAATACTCCGACTTCCAGCGGCGGCTCCAGCCACCAGCGCTCCAAGTGCGTGCCTGGGGTGGCAAGCCGTGGGGGGCATCCTGCCGGTTCCTGCGAGGGTGGCAGTCAAGCAGCCTTCGGCAGCATGCCTGCGGGAGGTCCTCTGATAACGCGGATTCGGTGGCAATTTGGCGGCGGGTACGCTGAATCCGCGGGAATGGCGGACCTCCCGCAGGCATGCCGCCGAATCCGCGGGACCAGGGACCGCCCACAGGCCCGCTGCCAAAGGCAGCCTGCCTGCCGTGCTTGGGGCGGCAAAAAAGCTAGAGCCACCCCTGCTGATTTCTTTCCTCAGATCGAAGAGGAGTTTTGTGTAGTTTGAAAGCTTGTATCTTCCACCAGTGAAGCTGGTCCAATAAAAGATTACCTCACCTTCCTTGTCTCTCTCATATCCTGGAACGAACATGGCTTTTATTTGTAGGTTAGCAAGGGCCTAACATTCATTTAGTGGCCACAAAAGTAGGAACGGCAGTAAATACAATCCTCCCAGCCATGGCCTGAACCTCTCAAAAGTAAAACCATTAAGACAAGTAAGTATGTTTTTACCTGAACTGAGTTTTAAGAGGCTTCGAGTGCTATTGTCCATCTCAGTATGCTGTGTCAGTAGATCACTACTAGCGGACTGTGAAGTTGTCTTCATTTCATTAGCAGGGCTTACACTGTAATCTCTGAAATTTGTACTTCTCTTATCTTTTTGAAGTCTCTTAAAGTCCTTGTTCTGAGGCGTGGAGGAAAGGTAGAGGTGGTCATAATTATCTAGACTGGTATCTCTGTGTGGCTTGTATGGGTTCGTTTTGTTGGTGTCACTCAAATGCAGTTTCTTGCTTGAAGAAATGTCCTGGTTAAGGTAATAAATATTAGGTTTTCCTATTACGTCTTTCTCAAGAGAGGAGTCTAAGGAATCGTTTTCTGAAAAGGTCACCCGAAATCCTCCTCTTGTGAGTCCGGCTCTTATTTTGTCTGGGGAGCGCAGGGATGAACGCATTTGTGGTGGTGATGGAAGGGATCTGTATTCTGCCAAAAAACAAGCACAAACATAGGAGTAAAAATTGTGAAAACTGCAAAACATTCACCTAAAGTTATTTTTACTCGTATTCCAACTTCATACTTAAGTTGCCTGCATTTATAAGCCTTCTGTGAAGAACAACTGGCCCCCCACAGAAAGAAGTCATAAGAAAGCAGGCACTTGAATGTAACGTCCTATGTTGTACACACTTATGAAATCATACATTAGAGGTGGAAAAGATCCATTTGATCTCAGCTCTCCCTTCTCCTATAAGACCCAATTCAGGATTATTCCTTACAACATATTCCCCAGTGCTTGAAAAATTCCAGTATTAAATGTCTCAAATGATGGGGCTTCCACCATTTCTCTTAAGCGCCACATCTGGATGCCCCGTCACCATTTGCAATCATGTGTTTTTTGTGATGTTCACTGCCCCAAAAAATCTCCAATAACTTTCAAACAGTGGACATTCAAAGAGAGTCACATACTTCCCAACCCCAGCACCCCAAGCAGTCGTCTGGGTCGCCTGCCCCTAAATCCGGCCCTGATCATATGTGGAGAGTTCAACAGAAGCTATCAACATCTACAGTTTGTTCCTCAGAAAGAGCAACCAGAGCAAAATCTATGGATGACAGACGCAGAAGAAGCTTCAAGAATTCCAAACCGACCTCTGCTGGTCGTTGCAACGAATGGACTGCCAGATGATCAAGTTGTTATATGTTGTTACTAGTGTAATTAGAAAACCAGTCCAGAGATTGTACAGAGAGAGTACCATTTCAGAGATACTTAACAGATTGATCTGTACTGAACTTTAATGATAGGGTGATAGTGTACGTTTTGTAAATGGTCGGAATGTAAACCTTAGGAGATGTAATGGAATACTTAACTGTATTATACTGTTCAGCCACTTGATGGTGCTGTGTGTAATATACCTTATTTAAGCTAACCTCAGCCATACCGGATAGAACAGTAAAGGAGCCTACAGTGAACATATGTGGTGTGTATCACTGAGCAGGAAGCTCTGTGGTCAGTCCATACCTGGTTCAGAATCCTGACCTGTTTGTAGCAGCCCTTCAGCCTGTTGTGCACAGGAAATACATGACAACTATACTCAGACACCACTTCTACTGGCACAGTCAATTAACAGAGTCATAGATTCCAAGGCCATAAGGGACCACTGTGATCATCTAGTCTGCTGTCCTGTGTAGCACAGGCCAGAGGATTTCCTGGAATTCATTCCTGTTTGTACAAGAGCAGATCTTTTAGAAAAGCATCAATCGGGATTTACAATTTGCCAGTGATAGCGAATCCACCATAAGCAGTGATAAATTGTTCCAATGTCAATATTAGATTCAGTAGTGCAGCAGGATGAATTTGAAAGAGAATTACAGGATTATTATTGATATAGGAAAGTGCTGAAAGAAAATTGAAGATTGAAGCATTTACCATCTTCCAGGTGACTGTGATTCAGCAACTGTTTTCCTGCCACTTCTTCCAGCTGAAAAATATTTGAAACATCAGATCATGCACTTCGTACTGATATAAAGGGTCCGAGTCATCCATTTATTAAAAGAAAATTTGAAAATGTGAAGCCATGGGCTTGTCTAGCCCTTGTGCTCCCTGAGTCTGTCCAGGCTGCGATATGGACAGGCTTTCTGTGGCTACAGAAGGCAACACTGATAACAAATTAGGTGCAGAACACAAGAGTGCAGGCTTGAACACAAATTTAAATGAAGCTCTTCAAACATGAAGTCACTAGCGCCAGGAATTCAAACCCACAGTACGTCCGCTTCATTGGAAGTCTGCATTAAGGTTAAGAATTTAAACACAAACATCATAGAATCATAGAATCATAGAATC